GGTGGAATCGATTTGAAGTTGTGTTAATTGTTTCGTTTGTCATGAATGTGTGTGTGGTGTTCTCTGTTGTACGAGTTGGGTTTGAAACCAGCTTTGTGGTGGTTTGTTGAGAACTGGTTCTTGTTCTGGTCAGTCAATGTTTGTGTCTCGTCGGTCAGTAACATTGGTGTTTACCAACCATAAAATCGGCTGTTGGTAATGGTATTGTTGTAAAATATAAAAGTTATTTTTAGTAAGAGAAAATTTATAAAAACATTGGAATTATTTGTAATGTCTACTATATTTGTGAAAATATGGAGTAATTACGTTGAATTTTAAAAGATTGAATTTCATTTTAGATTTTACCATTCAAAATGTAAACAGTAAGATCTCGGACGGTTGCAACTCTCATAAAGCACGAAATTAAATGAGCCAGACAACAAGATAGAGGTTAGCACAATTAAAAGATGAATAGTTTAGAAATAGTTAATCACATTTAAACCGAGAAAGAGTGGTAGTTCAACAACCCAATCAGACTACACAAGTATTAATATCTATCTGAACCTAATGATGAGTATATAAAACCATGCACATATATTCACTAAATTAACCGGAAAAGGAAAAGGAAATGACGGTAGAGAAGCAAATGACGGCAGGAGAGAAACCACTCAGCCCGTTTTCGCGGTTGTTCAGCTTGCCGGGTCGCGACTGCTTCAATATCATAACCATCGGGTCCAAAAATGAATGTAATCCAATAGTTATTGTTGAAGGCTTAAAGAACACATTGATTAACCATCCACGCTTCTCTAGCATTCTGGTAAAATAATCACATTCATATGTAATTCATGTATGCATATCGGATGATGTCATATATTGTTATAATGTGTGTGACTTAGGAAATGTTATTTTGTGTAGGATACGGGTAATGGTGAGCACAAAGGGAAAGCGAAATGGGTTCGTACACAAGTAAACGTGGAAGAACACGTAATTATTCCAGAAATAGATCCCAACATTGAAAATCCTGATCAATTTCTAGAGGACTATACATCAAGCATGGCTGTTACTCCAATGGACAAGTCAAAACCATTATGGGAGTTTCATCTACTGAAAATGAAGACATCACATCATTCTTTGGGTGATGGGATGTCTCTTATGTCCCTTTTGCTAGCTTGTACTCGAAAAACATGTGACCCCGAGGCATTTTCTACATTTGTGGTTGCCTCGACAAAACGTAGTGCGAGCGCGACGATAAACACTTGTTGGTTTTGGTCGATGGTTGCTTGGTTTTGGTACATAGTAAGAGTAATATTTCACACTTGTGTTGGAGTGTTTAAGTCTATGGTTATGGCATGTTTTGGTGGGGACACTTCAAGTTTACTTATGGGTAAATCTGGTGCTACACTTTGCCCTAATAAGTTTATTCATCGAATCATTAGTTTGGAAGATGTCAAATTCGTGTTGAACGCAATGAATGCGGTACGTCGTTTGGTTAATATTCTTTTATTTTTCTTAAACAAAATATTTAATCGTCTATGATGAATTTTCATCTTCATTTTCTTGGTTTGTTATTTAATAGACAGTGAATGATGTTCTTCTTGGAATGGTGCAAGCTGGCCTTTCACGGTATTTGACTCAAGAGATATGGTAAATCACTAATTAAGTAACCCTTGTTTATATAATAAAATAGCATGCATTTGTGAATGCCTTACATTTGTTGTTGTGGATTTGTAATCAGATCTTGAAACAACTTACAAGTCAAGAAAATCTCTAGAAAGATTATGTCTTCATGGTGCTGTTTTCTTTAACCTAAGGCCAAATATATAGAGACATTGAGGTGCAAACAAAACCCTATTGACAATTAATCTTTTGATTCTTTTTTATCCTACTAAACATATTGATCAGAATCTAACATATAATTACACACACACGCGTGCAGGATCTGGCTAAGATGATGGCAAAAGGTTCAAAATTTAGATGGGGAAATTCGATGGGTTATGTTACGTTTCCTTTATGGATGAAGTCAGAAAATGATATACTTGAATACATTCGACGAGCCAAAGCGACAATGGATCGCAAAAAACTCTCGCTTGAACCTCTCTTTTCATATGCTTTGCTCAAATTTATCATGGAAGTTTTCGGAATCAAGGTGATATTCTAAATCAAAACATGCATTACCTTGGTATACTACTATTATAATGTGTATATATATGATGGATGTAGTTTGATTAGTCATTAGTGAGCATTGAAAACAGGCACTCAATATTTTTATGAAGAGGATTTTTGGTCGCTCAACAATGGTATTCTCAAATGTGATCGGTCCAACAGAAGAAATAAGCTATTTCGATCATCAAATATCTTACATTGCCGCAACTTCAATTGGTCTGCCACAGGTACCACATTACACAATCCCTTATTTGTCTTTCTTTTGTTTGGACCAAACAATTTGGTAAATTAGAGATTTTGTTTGTCTTTATTTTGCATTGAAAAACTTTTCACCATGAATAACGAGACTAACATTTATGTTATTTGTTGGACAATTAAGGTACTCACTGTCAACATTCAAAGCTATGTAAACAAGGTTATCTTCAATCTTGGAGTTGATCTAGTCGTGATTTCTGATCCTCATCACCTCTGTGATCTCATCTTCGAGGCTCTACGTATGATGAAAACCGTTGCCGCGGAAAACACTTGTTGTGATTCATATGCTTAAAATGTAAATGAAATGGTTTGGCTTATGAAATAAATCAAGAAAAAACTACTCTTGCATGCAATATTTTCATTTTTATTTGCCAAAAATTCACTATTTTTATTTATCATTTTATTTCCTTAAAAATTTGCGTGTTAAGCACAAATAATATCAGTATGTGATCCATGGTGAAAGTCTAGTGTGACTTAAAGGTGATA